AGCACCGTACTGCAGATAGCGGACCCCTTCAATTTAGAAACACTTGCCCCAGATACAAACTAAAAATAAATCTACTTACTTTACGCTCTTTCCATGCTTAACTGTATCTACTTAGCTTTACCCAATTTGGCGTCAATTTGCTTTGCTAATGAAATTTGCGTTGTAAGGTGTCAAAATTTATGTACATAATTTTTATATGAATAAAATTGATCACAGTTGAACAGTTATAAAAAGTATTTCAATCAAACATTGAAACATTTGTGTTGGCTAATGCGACTGTAGCTAAGCAAAAGATAAATGCGTAGTTACGTTACCTAAAACCTATTATCAAGTATTGTTGTATTGTGTATTAAAGCAATTCTTCACTTACTTAATATATAAATCAAATTACATCAACTAAGAAACATCTAAGGAATCAAACAGTTCCATCTTTATGTGAACTACACAGAAAACCGAACCTTCCAATCTGTTTCAGTTGGCTCTCATCAAACAAAAATTTAAATTTTAGGGAAGTATTGTTTAAAAACAGTTCCTTACACGTTTTGTTATTATACCAAACGTTACTGTCCTTTGCGAGACATAGTTTTCTATATTATATACGCCGAAACCCTCTGCTTCGTATGTCATCCTCTTCTTTTACAGTATTAATCCATCTTTTTTTGATCTACCTTTGTTTGTCATTTCAAATCCCGAAGTAATGAAATTTGCTTTGCTAATGTCATTAGTCATACATAAGACTATGATATTTCTAATAATCTCATATGTTAGCTATCTTAATCAAACACTACCTTAACTTGCTATAGATATGCTTCCTACTCCTGTATATAGTACTATTTCTGCTGTATTGAGATTTGATCTTCTATCTTAACTTGCTATAGCTATACAGGATATCAATAACTTACTTACTTACTTGTTTGGTCATAACAACTCAACACCGGATATGGACCTGATACAGCATGTCCGTCCAAGCGCCTCTGCTACATGCACACCTCCTTCAGTCTCGTACATCAAGTCCGGTAAGTGCTCCTTCGACTTGATTACTCCACCGGAGACACGGTCTAACTCTAAAATCTCTAAGATAACAGTAGCTATTGTCTGGCTATTTTAATATTCCGAATAATTTTCGTTTTAGTTTTCTCTCAAATATGCTTTGAATCATTGACTATTACCATATTATATCAATTTGCAAGAATCGGCTCTGCAAAGTCTTACATGGGTTATATACCCACTAAAAGAGCGACATATTTTTAAGTACGGACGAACAGGGTAGGATTTATTAACAGTTTCTTTGTGTTCTTTTATTATGAGATATTCCCAGAGGCATTGAAAATCACATCCAGTTACAAGTATTGAAAATCCTGAACGTATTATATAGGGTAAACGGAAACCATTTCAAAGCTTTATCAATAACTGTGCGTTCCGAGAAAAAACGTAGTGTAGGAAAACATAAAATCTGTAGAATTCACCTGGTAACCACAAAAAATTAACATAAAACGGCGACGAAACGCCAATATTAATTATAAAAACAAATATCAAAACGGTTTTCTAGAGGTTCTAGATATCATACGATATGGATTTCCAGCACCAAATAAATAAATTAAATGAATCCATTTATTTTACAGCTGACTTTTAAGAAGTAAAGAGTCAAATTAAAAATAATAAATAGATTTTTATGTATGCAGCATCCCACAAATTATATGGAAGACTTTTTTCAGATGCCAAACTTAAAAAGTTTGCAGATCTCTGTACACATTTCGGGTATCTAAGACAAAATAATGAAATGGAATACTTTTGTAGCAAAATTATAAAATAGTTTTAAATCTGTCTCGAACTTTTAGTTCAACATTTGCATAAACGCGGAACACATAACTTAGGCACGTGGAAAGATACAGAATATATTGTAACGAGGTTATAACAGAAATTTCCCTACAAATTTAAATAGGAAAAATACGCATAGAGAAATAAATCTTATGGATTTAAATAGAAAATGTAACAATTGGCGACTGTAGTTACAAAATAATTAGAAACATGTTTAATGTATGAGTAAAGCAAAGGAGACATGCGCTCTATACGTGTCCAAAATTCGTCATGCGTCTTGCGAAAAGATGCAAAACTATCTTATGACTTCAAAGGATATTGCTGCAATATGTGCTTATAGCAAAGGGTTTGATAGACGTAATGCCATTTTTATAGGAAAAAAATGCTAAACTTATTATACAATGTCGTTATGATCAATCAATCTTCAACTTTCGGTTGGATTATTATAAGGTTTAGAAAATTTTCCTACAAATATATAACCATTGTAGAAATGAATGAACGGAAAGTTGAACTTACTTCATTATCATAAATGTGTTTGACCGCTTACGCATGTCATATGACTCTTATGAGTTAAGATGAATACGCTAAGTATGTCGAAAGTTTACGATACAGTTTGATATATAACAATGACTCACTCATTTATATTCAGATGGGAAAATTCTCATATTATGATAAAGCATTTCGGAAAATCTGAAGTAGGAAATATTATAAAAAACGTAATCATATAGTTAGGAAACCGATTTGTTTTTAGAATTAGATAGATTCAGGAGAATATTGCATTATTCAAATGATATTCCTGTCATAAGATTCAATTGATTTAAAATACGATGTGGCGTTATATCGTAAGATCTGCAATTTTAGATAACAGTTACTATAACCTTACTTAATCACTAGCATCGCCATTCTCTTTTTTCGTATATTGACATCGACTTTAGTTTGGCGAATTGTAATGAATTCAAGCTAAGAAAAAACACTGAAAATCTATTATCTTTCATTAATAATAAGGACTCTAAAAAAATTAATAGAACCGTAATTAGGCAATCTATCGCAGCTACCTCCTAATACCCACCTACCTACGACAATTGAAATACACTTGAATTCCAGTTTGGTCAACTGTTGCAAATGCAGAATTAATTTTAGCGAAACTTTATATAAAGTTGTCCATCCGATATATCTTCAATTCTCTTTACATATTGAGATACTCAGTTTTAACTATTGTTAAGCATTAAACATCCTATACTCATTACATATAAAAGTTGTTATACGATCTCGAACTATATCTACACCTACAATAATGTTAAAATTAAAATTAAATTAACTGATTGATATAAATTGATTTTTCCAGTATAAATCAATAAATCAATAAATTCCAGTCTTCTGGACAGCGATACAGACTGACTGAATGAGTGCTCTATCCCAACACAAAATTCGACTTGTGTATCAAATAAATAACGATAAAATACTACTTATCTGCGTCTTCATTGCACAACACTCACTTAAATGTGATTTTTTTAATTGAAACTTTATGAAAGTAAAATCACTTTATAAAAATATCTTTCTTCTTACGAAAATGGGTTCATTTATCGAAGGGTTCTCCTAAAAATTAGCCGGTTGGTCGGTCGCAGTAACACCTATACTCCGACTTCCTATAATTAACGAATATTTTGTGGTTAACTATTACATCTCGCACAAGAAACCTAAAGTGATAAAAACTTTATCCAAATCGTTGACAAATCTTTCATTCTTACCGATTAACACTTCGAAAACTGTTAAAGATGTAGTTCCCTTAAAAAATCAGCTAGTGTGAATAAAAATTCTATATGGTATCACAAAGAGCATACTTTCTGCGACCAAAGTGTAGACGTGGTAATTAAGCACGTTAAATAGATTAGGCGTTCAACGGTCTCACTTATAAACGATCTACATTTGCCAAAATAGATGTTCTATCGTCACAAATAATATGCCTAAGTCCCACCTTATTGATGCCTGACTGAAATAGGTACATATATTCCCAATAAGGAAGAATCTTAATTCTAATTTTGTTCAGCTTTTTATAATAATAGCATTTCTTTAGATTTTTTTTTTTTGATTTTTAATGTTGCTTACAACACATTGCGGGTTTATTAATATCGACAGTATTTACTTAAAATATAATTCGAAATAAAAATTAGTATTGTGCAAAGAATAATTTATGTGCCATTTTTTAACTTATATATATAATCTATGATACCCGTAACTTCTTATTACAAAATCCTTTTAAATTCTTGCCATCTTTGTCGTTGTTATTCATGCGTTAATTACAATTCTTCTCTTGTGCATCCCTTAAATTCGCTATTCGCAATTGTTCCAAAGCAATCTCATGAGCACGGAAATGTTCACGAGTGGCCTTTTCCAATTCACTCAGTCCACTATCTGCGCCATAACTGATTTTTATTGCAGCACTTTGATTCTCTGGTAGCAATGTGGCTTTTTCGTAGAGCTGCGGACTTATCTCCAATGGCTTATTATTCAACTGCTGTTTCTGTGCCACAACATTAATGCCATTGATTGCATTCGTGTAGCGGAGCAAAAATGGATTCTTTAAATGGAATGCATTTGGAGGTGCTGAAGCGAGCAATACATAGCCCGTTGTCTGAGGTAGTGCCAGTTTTTGTTGTCCAAGAATATATTTATCTGAAGCAATAGCAGCATCTGGCTGTGCTGGTAATGGTGCCATATATGGTAATTTATTATCCTGTAGATTTGGTGCTGATTGTATTAAAGACTTAACTATACCCAGGTTTTGTGGCACTTCAGCCATTTGTTGCGGTTGTGTTGCTTTCAGAATCACTTGCTGTTCGGTTTGATATATTTTGGATTCAGCTTCTTTTTCTGTTGCACGACGAAGTGCTTCTTCTTCTTGTAATCGTATACGCTCTGCAATCATGGCACGTTCTTCTTCTTCCTGACGTTCAGATTCTAGCATAACTTGCGCTATGCGTTCCCTTTCCTCAGCGCGTACACGTTCAGCTTCACGCAATCGTTCAGCTTCAAGGAACATTTGTTCTTCTTTCATATGCTCCACAGCTCTAAGCTTATCGGCTTCCGCTATTGGGCGGTAGTCATGCTGGTTGTCAGCTATAGCAATCTGCTCGTTCTTCTGATATTCGTTTGATTTAAGCTTGGCCTCCTGCAATAGTTTTAAATGCTCTTCCCTGGCGCGTATTACTTCTGGTGTGTACTGTACTTGCTCATTTTGTTGCAGAATATTTGTTTGTTCTCCCTTAAGTAGGGGTACGCTATAAGAAAGAGGAGTTAGTGGTACGTTACCCACAAGTGAAGCAAATTGCTGCATTTCAGAGCCTTTGCTTTCAACAGCTGGTATTACAACTGAGTCAGTGTTTGGAGAGGGTATTACAGCTGCTTTAAGTTTAGCTTCATTAACAAGTCTCAAATGTTCTTCACGCGCACGTATTACCTCTGGTGTATCTTGCACTGGTTTTTGTGAGGCCCCGAATTGCTGCGTGGTTGCATAGTTTTTAAGATTTGCTTCGTTCTGCTGTAGTGATTGTACATTCTGTTGTACACCAGTCGAAATAGCTTTAAAGTCAGATATCAATGGATTTTTAGCGTTATCAATTGTGACTTGATCATTAGATTGCTCAATATTTTCCTTCTCAGCACGTAATTTTGCTTCATTCCACAAACGAAAATGTTCTGCCTTAGCTAGCGAAACTTCTGGTGTTTCCACCACAATCTGACTTGGTTGTGCTGCATCATTTACAGTCTCTTGTTTTATTGGCTCAACCATTTTTACCAAATTCATCGCAGCTTTACGTTCATCTTCCAATTGCTTTATACGCAATAGATGTTCATTATAAATACGTAGATGTTCCTCGCGTGCTTTCTTCTGCTCCGCAGTCTCCCCAACTATTGCAGGAAATTCATGATAAGTCTTTAACTCTCCAGTATTGGCCAATTTATTAGGCTCTTGTGAATTATTTTCCTTAATGGTTTGTAATTTCTGTTGTTCGGCTTCTTTTTGTGTTACTTTAAGCCGCGCCTCATTCCAAAGCCGCAAGTGTTCCTCACGTGCCAGTTTCACTTCTGGTGTTTCAACATTTGGCATTTGGTTAGAATCGAAAAGTATTTGCTCTAAGCGGATCAATTGAGCTAACATATCAGGTGAGGGTATCTTACCTTCCGCACGTAATCTTTCACGTTCAAGTTTTAGTGCCTGATAGCGTTGTTCATACCAAATACGAAAATGTTCATCTCGTAACCGCGTTGCATCACTTTCGTCACCAGATTGAACATTGAACTTCAGTAATGGCTGCACAATATCTTCGTTGCCATAACTTAGCCTTCTCACACCATGTAATGGTTCAGGATAAGTATAACTAACCAAACGTTCCACACCATTGGCATCTAAATAACGTATATAACCCTGCGCCAATAAGCTACTGACTGGAAATTGACCACGTGCTGGAGCGTATGCCAATAATTCTGAGCGATAAGGATAACCAATAGCTAGTGAATGCACCGTGCTCACCGCCAATAATGTTAAAAGGATTAAACGTATAATTTGAGCCATCTTTAATTCCAAAAAACTTCCTACAACTGCTTCATTCGTTTAGTTTCTTTTCGAGCTGCCAGCGTTAAGGAATGATGCCTTGTAAGAAGTTTAGTCTTCACTGATGTTCAAATTGAAAGTAGTTTAGCGTATTTATACTAAAATCGATGACGTCTACTGAGGTGTTTAAGTTTAGTTAATGTTCTTAACTCTTATGGTAAAATGTAAACGGAATTACCTTCTCATAAAACCCAAAGATAAAAAAACCTATTTCCTGTTTCATGTCCTTGAGCACGACTTTGCATTTGTGGTCAAGATAGCAGCTGGGATAATGTCATGATATATTTTATTAGCCTAGGCCAATATTAAATTTAACAGTTGTTGACTTTGTGGGATGCAATTTTTCTCTTAATTTGATTCCATTTTATGACTTGATAAACAGTTAAATTGTCTTAACTGTCTGGCATCCTCCAAATAATTGTAATTTTATATCGAAACATTTTGCTCTACAGTCTGCATTAGAGAAATCATTCTATTGTATCAAAAATTTTCTCGTTTGATAAATGATTAGTTATTATTCAGACTTTCTAGTTACTTTTTAACACCAAAATAAATAAAGGTAAAGTTATTATGTTAAAAAAAAATGAAAACCAGAAATACGAGTATATCACAATTTTTATATCAAAACCATATAAATACGAGTTTATTAAAACCATAGATCACATTTTTTATATCTTGCTTAATCAGTTATGAAGTATAGTTAGATGGTTTATATTTTGAGCTTAAATCAATAGAAGATTGAGACTCAATGCTCTTTCCCCAAACACACTTTAAAGTAGTTAAAATAATTTTTTAATTTCTTAATTTTTGATTTTAATTTTATAATTTTTACTTATATTTCACTTCTAGCATCTGCGTACCAGTCATGATTACAAAAGAGTGGTTTCTCCCTATCAATTCAACAGAACCCGCTAAACTGCACCCTTTATTTTCCATCTGGATTTTCAAACCACAATTTATGCGCGTAAATGAATGATTTTTCATCATACTTTTTGCCTAAGATTTTATCGGTAATATCAAACTGATATCTTCTAATAAAACATAAACCTTAACTTTACTTTGTATAAGATTTTATTCTGCTTAAATTCTTAGGGAGCCCGCAATTATTCTAATCAACTTTTAATATCGCCGCATATACAGTTGATTCCAATCCGTTTGAAAATTCAGACTTTGCATTTAGTATATCGAATACATTGTGACCGAAAAGCTTTCGGAAATTCTCATTTAAAATTCGCGCGCTGTATATTTTCCGATATTTTAAGTTTATGTAGTTTGGCAGCACTGTCCTTAATTACTATGCCAAAAATGAGCGCGATCTGTCAGACAGTTCGTTTACGGCAGCTGTTGAAACCAGTTCACCTCAGTAGGGCGTTGCGAAAAAAACAATGGAAAAAAATATTGAACAAAGAGTTTGCATCAAATTTTGTGTTTCGAACGAAATTTCGTGTGCAGAATCGTTGCGAATGCTACAAAAGGCTTATGGGGAATCAGTTTTATCGAAAACTCAAGTTTATGAGTGGTACAAAGCCTTCCAGGACGGTCGTACGACCGTCGAAGACATTTCGCAACGCACTACTGAGGTGAACTGGTTTCAACAGCTGCCGTAAACGAACTGTCTGACAGATCGAGCTCATTTTTGGCATAGTAATTAAGGACAGTGCTGCCAAACTACATAAACTTAAAATATCGAAAAATATACAGCGCGCGAATTTTAAATGAGAATTTCCGAAAACTTTTCAGTCTTAATGTATAGCTTAAAGACAAAAGTTACTCAGAATAGCTGATCTTTTTTTGGTGCCTCGTACACCAAAACCGCAATTATTTTAATCAACTTTTATTCCGCCCCATATACAGTTGATTCCAATCCGTTTGAAAATCCAGACTTTGCATTTAGTATATCGATATATAGCTTAAAGACAAAAGTTACTCAGAATAGCTGATCTTTTTTTGGTGCCTCGTACACCAAAACCTGCTTAAGCTTATATAATGACTCGATATCACGGATATATTAGATAGTATGCAATTTAAATTAAAGGGGGTAATACCACAATAACAAGTAACTTTATTGAAGCCAGTTATAAAAAAAATCAATCCAATCTTTCTTAACCTAAATATTCAACATATTACATATATGTACATAAACAGTAATTTTTTTTAAAATATTTATATACACAAACTTACATCTATAAATCACATAGTACAGGGTTCCATAACCGTTGGTTCACGGACCACTGCCGCTATCAGCCCAATTAGTTTGAAAATAATTTTATTTTTCTTTTTAATGATATTATTTCTTTCAGAAAAATAATATTAAATATATTACCTGTTCTTGTAAAACATATTTAATCCGCAGTATGTTTTTTATTGAAAATCACTGGCCAAGTCCGCAAACATAGTGAAGACAAATCGTATTATAAAGACGAATATCTTCGTCATTATATCGCAAAAGTAACTATATTAAACCAAAGACAAAGATTGCAACCGAAGATGATTTGTAAGCGATCGTTGACTTTATCTTTTTCATGTTGCAGTCTAAGACAATGCTTCTAAATAATTCTGTACTACACAATTGTGTCGCGTATGCCTACCATTTTATCATCTCGCACGGCATAATGTCATTTAATTTCATGTCTTCAACGGATATGTTGACCATTTTTGGCCAACATGCCATGTTACCTTATAAGGTCTTAACAAGACATGGACTCATTGGTCCTTAACGCAGTAATTCGTGATTAATATTTGTGGCTTTTTTCCTTTTCAAGGTTATTTGTTGTATTTTTAACACTTAAATTTGTTTGCTTCTCATAAGCATTTAAATCTGTTACCTTTTCCACTTAACCAGTTTACCGAAGCTGCAGAATGCATCGGCGCGGAGTGGGACTAATGCAGTTATTTATGGAAGCAGTTGTGGTATTTTTAAAAAGTGTACGAAATAAATTTGTCACGTATGGATATTTAACTTAATACTGATGAAATGTGGGGGCCTGACCGTTAACCCGGTTCCCAACAAAAAATCTGTGTAATGTCTTAATAATACAATGAACTGAATTAACAAACTACAATCACCTGGTAACAATTAAGGATTGTTTTAAAAGAAATTTAATGAAATTCATTCAAATCGTAATTAAGAAAAACAATTTTTAATCCGCTACTGTTCACTAAGAAATTACATTCATCTTTCAATATTGAGTTTAAAATGAAGAAGACTTTAATAAGAGCAGCGCATGACATCAATTAAATTATTTATAAAAAAAAATTCTCGATGTTGCTGGAAGATGATAAATGCTGCATTGTATATCACAGAGATGAAAAAATAAATTATGCTGTGGCGACACATAATTAATTTTAATGCTGGCATTAACCTATCAGATAAATATTTTATGCATTTTTGTTCATAATTGAATCTCTCGGCTTTGCCTGCCTGCTCAGCAGTAAGCGTAGTTTTTTCATAGCCAAAACGGTACAGAAATAAATTTTGAATTCAAAATAATTTATTTTTGCATATATCAATTCGCACTTGAGTATTCATCGAACAAGCGTTGATTAAGCTGGCTTAGCTGACTTATATCGCGAATTAAATAAGGAACTCTTCCACGGTACGTTTATGGCTGAGCACAGTCTCGGGTAACCGGTTCCCGCGATTATTATTGAATTGAACTCACCACAAATTACCGCATACCAAAGAGTTTGGCGCCGTTATGTCATTTTTAGTACTCCATGCAAAATATAAAATTTTAAAGGAAGTCGAAATACAAATGAGAACTTCCATGTTTAAATTCAGGAAAATTAATCAAAAACATTCGAAATTCGAAAATTCACTGAATTACTTTACAATTGTTTCACTGTTATTAGAAGTAGTTTATATAGTGCAGAATAATATCTTTTAAATATACATATGGTGTATAAATATAACATAGTCATATAACATAATATATGTTACTATACATGTTACTATGCATGTACATATGTAAATACAGTCAAACTTCCATAACTCGAACTTCTATAACTCGAATTTTCTCTAACTCGAACCAAAAACAGTGCATCAAGGTTTTGAGAGCAAATTACATACAATTCTGCTTCCATAACTCGAACTTCTATAATTCGAATATTATATGAGAAAGTGCATTCTATAAGTCGAATTTTTGTTTTAAGTATAAATGCATTTTGCTGTTAAGGGAAGTCCCTTTCTCCAAACCAAATGTTTGATTTTTTCTTTCTTATGTTGCTTCTTTGTGCTTATACCAGTCGCTGACAACATAGTTTAAAAAGTAAATAAAATAACTTCCAATGCTACTCTTAACGATTATATTGAGCTTGACAATGAAATTTGTACATCAAGCTTTCTTACAGCTGACGATATTATCGAGCACTATAACGGAAATTGATGATGAGGGTTTCGTGGATATAATTGTTCTTCAGCCTTCCAAGAATGAAGTAGAAGACTCATTCAAAATTCTAAATTTATATTTGGAAACAAATGTTACTACAACTGATGATCACTATAAGAGTATGAATAAAGTACAATCTCTTTTTACTGAAAATAAGAAAAAATATTAAAGTCCCAAACTCTAATTTCTGAATATTTTACTTCACTATAACTTCTGTGCTTTATTTGATTGCAAATAAATAAATATCTTGAATAGTAATTTTAGTTTATTTCAAAAAAAAAAAAATATAAATATACACATATGTATATTTTTATTAAATTTTAAATTAATTTGACTTATATATAAATAAATAAAATTATTATACTTATAATAATAAATAAATAAATAAATAATTTGGCTTTGGCTTTGTTAAAACTTTAATACCCTTCAAAAGTTGCTTATGAATATATACATATATACATATTAAGTTCACACTTAAACTTATTGATCCTCTTTAACATATTTTTATAGAGATTTTGTATGGTTTTTTATAAAAAATTTCACATTTTACTGCTTATAGGTAGACTTCGTAAC